TATTTAGGAAGTTTATGGGACTTTTATAGGAAAATGTGTGTGTGGAAGACAGGCGGCTGTTTCGAACTTTAAAGCAGATGATAAAATGCAGGGTGGGGTGTATGTGCTGCTCTGCTGAGTGCTTTAGACTTCAAAGAAAAAAATAAGTTTGTTTGACAAGTTAATTTTGGAAGGTTTGTTTTAAAATCTGCTCCAGGAGGTAGACAAAGACACCATTCTTATTAGTCATTTTCATAGACTGATGTCGAAGACGGCCACCTGAGCTAAAACGGAAAAAATGCTGTAAATGAGCCATTTTTTTAGAGATATGAAGCTGAAATTTCATGTGGTAGTAGATGCGATCAATGCTCAGTGGCATTCCCCGTCAAAGTTCTTCAGGAACTTTCTAGTTTATTTATTGCAATCCTCTTGTTTGCAGTCCTGCAATGATTTTTAGTTCTAAACTTGTTTCTGTTCAAAACGAAGATGATACTTTATTGGTTTTTGTTTAGGTCTGGATAGATTTAGGGGCAAAAAATGGGATGTGGACAAATATTTTTGTCTTGCACAACTGTTTGGACTCTGTTTCCTGAAATCAGGGATGCCTTACGACCAACTTGTTCTGCTGTAGATGAGAACGGAGGCTAGAGGTTGTCAAAAACACGGCTGTAACTACAGCGTGTCGGAAAGCACACGTGTAAAGCAGATGCTAAACTCGAGCACCGCAGTTTGTCAAACCTCACTGAGTACCTCAAAAATCATCTGGTATGACGACTTGGCATCTTTGAGCTGGTTATATTTCTTTATTTTAAAAAAATCTTTTTACATCTACTGGTAAAAATTATAGACTACACATATTTAGAGGATGTTCTTTCAATTGTTTTAAGTTGTGTTAAAGAAAAACACAGACATGCCGCAAAACAATCATTTTTAAATATCCCAATCTGATAGGATGCAATAAAATAGTTGTAGTCAGACACATTTGCTTTTGTTTGTTTTAGATCAAGTAGACAAAAAGTATGCAATTGTTCAAATTTGAGAAATAAAGTTATGGAGTCATGATATAAACAGCATTATTAGTACTTTGTTGCTTTATTTCTGTCCATTACAGCCGCATCAGATCTCCGAGGCACGAAGCCAACTTACAACAAACTGTATTCTTCATAATCTGCCTATTTCTGTCTCTTATTGTTGTTGCCAGATCAACTTTGCAGCTAGGAGAATTGATTTGAACTAAAACAAATATTTAGCATGTTTCAGCCTCTCAGATGTGATAGCTTTCTTCTATTATAATTAATTTAACGTGTTGAGGTTTAAAATTTAATGGTACACACGTTACTCGAGACATCGCAGTCTTTGGGAACTTGTGATGGCCATTTTTGCAGATAAAGGCTTCCTCTCTCCTGCTCTGCTGTAAATCTTTAACTTTTACTTTAACAGCTGTTTCTTTGGCGCCTCGTGGTTTGACATGTTTAAGATAAAAGGCACTACGTTCGTTGACTCTCATCATGCTCGATACATCACAGGCGTGTTGGTTCTTTTTAGATCGTCTTAGCCTTTTCTCGTCAGCGATTCCTTGTAGAATCACAGTCAGCATACAGAAAACAGGAAAAAAAACAACATCCAGGTGATTTATTCATCCATTGAATTTGAAGGTCTGAAACACGAGGTTTTCAGGTCAATGAAAGCAAAACGATTCTGTGTTTGTATAAGTGTGTGGTAAACCTGTGAACTTCCAGGACGTGTGTGAGAGACCGTGTCTGTAGATAATAAATGCTTGAAGAGAGCTAAATGTTTTGGCTTTACGTTGAGGTTTAGGACATAAATGTTGTCCGCAGGTCCGTAGATCCTGAGCGGAGGAGGACCAAATAAAAAACAGTCTCCTTTTGTCCCGTAAAGTAATTTATGTGCTGGATCCATTTATGTGTTTAAATAAATTAAGTTTTAAGCGGTGTGTGTGTGTGTGTGTTAAAGCAGGGTCATGGCCTGTTTCTCTCCAGGTGTGTGTTTGGCCCGAGGGGAGTTGGCGCAGATGGTCCCTGTTTACGTGTCACAGTGTGTGTTTGTGTGTCTTATCATGCCCACTGATCTGCCCCCCAAAAAATCATATCATTCCATCCATCCAGTCCATCTGTCCTTTCTTCCACCCATCCATCAATCCGTTCATCTAATCTATTCATCCATCCATCCATCCATCCATCCATCCATCCCATCTGTTCGTCCTTCTATCCAATTCATTCATCTAATCCATTCATCTAGTCTGTCAATCCATCCATCCATCCATCCATCCATCCATCCATCCATCCATCCATCCATCTATTATCCTTCCATCCATCCAATCATCCATCTATCTAATTCATTCATCCATCTATCCATCAATCATCCAATCCATTCATCCATCCAATCCATTCATCCATCCAACCATACATCCAATCTGTCTATCCATCCATCCAGTCTATCCACCCACCCATCCATCCTTCCATCCATCCATCCATCTGATTGTCCATCCATCCAATCATCCATCCATCTAATTCATTCATCCATCCATCCTCTTCTGCTTGTTCTGAAGTTGAGTTGTGGGGGCAGCAGCTTGAGCAGGGAGGCCCAGACATCTCTTCCAGCTCTTCTGGGAGGGTTCCAAGGCGTTCCCAGGCTCATCCACTAATCTTCATTACATAAAACTGTAGCAACAAAAACACAGAACTAAACACCTGAATCAAAAACTACAAAGTAGTCGTAATCTTACCTCTGATCAAATGTTTGCTACAAAGACGAGTGTACTCTTGTGGCTGCTGACATTTCCTGGCCCTTCACCGCCACACAACATCATTAATGATCACTTCCGCCCATCGTTGTTGTGGGTCATGTGACAGAAAACTATCCATAGAAACCAAATGTGATTTTCAGAAATTTATATCTAGACATTGATTTTGTTTTTGTTCCATTAAACCATAAAGTAATGTTATTTCAGGACTTACAGCCAACCCATCTGCTCTCTGATTGGATCGTTAAATTTGTGATTGACATGACATTGACCAATCACACACAAATCCCTATCTGCACATGCACAAATCACTTTTTTTTAACAAGGTTACAAAACTAATTTACAAGTACAGAATATTTACGACTGAAATTTGTGCCCATGCAAGAATCCACTCGCCTGAGGTTCACGTCACCGTCTCCAAGGAAACAAAAACAGCTGATGCATTTTATTTTACCAAATCAAAATTTTTGAATCATACTCTCCAAGTGGGCAGCACGGTGGCGCAACTGGTAGAGCTGCTGCCTCTCAGCGAACAGGTCCCTGGTTCAAACCCCAGTCCAGGGGCCTTCTGGGTGGAGTTTGCATGTTCTCTCCGTGCATGTGTGGGTTTTCTCCAGGTACTCCGGTTTCCTCCCACAGACCAAAAACATGCATGTTAGGCTGATTGGTAACTCTAAATTGTCCCTAGGTGTGAATGAGAGAGTGAATGGTTGTTTGTCTCGTTTGTCTCTATGTGGCCCTGTGATGGACTTGCGACCCGTCCAGGGTGTACCCCGCCCCTCGCACAGTGATTGCTGGACATGGGCACCAGCGACCCCCGTGACCCAAAATGGAATAAACGGGTAAAGATAATGAATGGATGGATACTCTCCAAGTGTTTTGCTGTGGTTGACGTGAACCTGTTGAAACCCAGAGTGCACTTCAGGAGCCGTGGGAGTTTAGAGTGTTCGTAACGGAAAGCTCAAAATTTCACATCTGAGATGGTTATCAGAAAAATATAACTACAAGGCCATGCATAAACATTTGTTTCAAGGGGAAGAAAGTGTTAAAACTTGGTAAAAAAAAAAAAATATATATATATATATATATAATATATATATATTTTTTGTCACTCCTATAAAATGTTTTATGTAGATAACTTATTGAGTGCTGCACACAGGATTTTTATGTTTAATGAATTAGTATGACAGCTGATAATTTGGGCATCTGTTCTAACTGGTCCCTTACTGTTTTTACATTAAAAATGAACAACTAATGCATTTTTTTTAAATTACAGAATTTATTTTTTTTTTCTTGAAAAATAATGCATTTTTTAAAGCAATGGGGCATTTACCAGTGGTGGGAAAGTGTATCTTGTACTGTGGACAGAAATTGTGATCAGTGAGCTTTAATTAAGGTGTACAGACAGAGCAGTCTGTGTTATTGAAGATACCAGCTCTAATTTTCATCTAATGTGACTGTGGATGTTGAACCTTTCCGTTAACGTATGTCAACATTTATGGTGTTTTATTGCCTGGATGTGGAGTTTGTTGACAGACCACACTTCTTCTTAGTTTTTTGAATGTAAAATTACAAAATAACTATTCATAAATAGTCATTTAGAAGGCATTTTGAAGTTGTTTTTTTATGAGCGTTCAGTTTGAAGTTATGGTATTTACCTAAATCTTGATTCATACAATATAGTTAATAAGCTGTGGTCATTGGTTTGATTTTTTTATGTTGTTTTTATTAACTGTGAGGTAAACTTAATGAACTGCTGCAAAAATGGCCCAATCAGATATCAAACTATTGCAATTAAAAATGTAAATAAATAAAGCAATCAACACCCCCCCCCTCCCCCCAGTCCCAGGAAGATTTTTGTACTGTAAGTGGACTAATCTCTTTTAATCAGGAGTCTTTGTCTTTTTGTGTGTCTTTAGGTGATCCCATCATCCCAGGCTTTGTGTTTTTTCTTGCTGCCTTCATCCAAAGCGACGCTCTGCTGATTGCTCATTGTTCCGATTGATCCAGAACTCAGCCTGTGGATTACTGAGAGCGTTGGAAAGGCCTTGATCACAGCTTTGTCAACACCATCACATACTCGGAGTTAAGAGGAGCTGCAGCAAAAAAACTGATAGAAGTAGAATTGTTCTCTTTTTTTTTTTACCCATTTTCATTTGATTGGAATATGGTTTAAATTAATATAATTTTGAATATGGTTTTTGATTAGTTATTTGGCCCAATCATATTTTTTTGTACCCATCACTCTTTGGCTGCCATGTACGGAAGTTCTCGCTCCGTCTCAAAGCTGGACGTTGTCGGGACAAATGGTAATGTGTCGGTGTCCGGGAGCCCCGGGCGCTCGCCACGCCTCCCCCGCTCACCCCACTTAGGACACCGGCGAAACAGCAGCAACAGCTCGGCCGGCGGACTTACCGGCACCGGTAAAACTCTGTCTATGGAGAATATTCAGTCTCTGAATGCTGCCTACGCCACAGGCGGGCCCATGTACTTCACCGACACAGCTGAAGATCCTGTCGGGATCGGGAGCATGGGAAGTGGACTGAATCCGACTGCGCCAAAAAGCACCATGACCCTGGGCAGAGCCGGGGCCCGGGTCCCTTATGGGGTCAGGGCCACAATCATGGGCAGCAGTCCGAATATAAACACAGGTGGAGGAGCCGGGGGGTGTGGCGGGGCCGTCATGCCCAGTGATGCCATCGCTTTTGGCGGAGAGCTGCAGAACCAGCCTCAACAGGCGGCCACGGTGCCTCACTCCATGAGACAGGTGAGGCTCTGTTTTCCTTTGTTTTTATGAGTTCATGAACTAAATGTTGAAGTGGCATCTTCACGTGCTGAGTCGGTGTGCTCTGAAGACGCGCTACAGAAAGGAAGTCTGCCATGGGAGTATTTGCAAAAGAAACAATCAAAAGATTGTCCAACATTTTCCTACGTATTCATAAATTTTGCAGAAAAAAGTTAATTTAAAAAAGGCAATATGAGCTTGTTTCTTTGGAATATAAATCATTCATTCAGTTTAGTCTTAACTTAACTAATCTCAGTTTATAAAAGGACAATAGAGTCAGTTGCGTTTGGCAAACAAGATATGCAGATAAACTTTGGACTCAGGATGTGGGATGCTTAAACTGAATTTAGCCAATTCTTCAACGGGTGTTATTGTCTTCAGAAGCCATCCTCCGGCTCGATAAAACAAGAACAGTGTGGGCATTCATGGAGTATTTTTAAAGGTTTGCTCTCCCACTAACTCTGCATCATGAGTCATCACCTGAGAGCTCAGCTCTTCAAGATGTCCTCTTTTGTTTTCATTTAATTATCTTTCAAACACAGCAACCTTTTTCCTGTAATGTCTTCATCGCTGTCATTCAATTGGCAGATGTTTCTGTGTACACATGAAGTGTATTGAGAGGATTCTAACTTGTTCTGCTGCTGACAGAAACATGGGATTCGAGTTTAGGAGAGCCAAAGCAGAATAAGTCTATTAAAAATTAATCCAGGATATTTTTAATTCTTTAATAGGGCTGCTCATGTCAAGATAAATTAAATAATAGATATGTGGAACATTTCCTCATGAATAATGAATCATGCTATCTCCTTGTGTTTTTCATCCATTGATCATGAATTATTGCTGCGTCATGCTTTGTTTTAATTGGTGGAACAATCTAAGAGGGCTGTACCTAAAATAGATTTGTACTTTTTACCATACAAACATAGGCGGCTAAAAGTACAGAAAAGAGGAGCCTCAGTGATGAAAAATCAATTTCTAGCAGTCCTTGAAGACCTGAAGACCATCTTCATACCAGAGTTTTAGCTGTTTTGGTCAAACCTCGTGCGATGTCACGCTCAAAAGTTTGTGTCGAGAATGACCGCAGACATCAGTTACCTTAGACAGAATGAAGAGGAGATAAGGGTGGAGGAAGGGCTATGAAGTGTAAAATTAGACAAATTAGAGCTCAGTGGTTCCCAACACTGCTCCTTGAGGAACACCATCCTGCATGTTTTAGTTGTTCCTCTGCTCCAACACACCTGCTTTGAATGAAAGGATGATTAACAGGCTTCTGCTGAACTTAAGGAAGTAATTAAACCACTGAATCAGGTGTGTTTGAGCAGAGGAACAACTAAAACATGCAGGATGGTGTTCCTCAAGGACCATGGTTTGGAACCACTGGTTTAGATAATACACACTCGACATATTTTCACCTGAATTTCTGAATGGAAATCAGCTGATGGGGTGTTTTCATAGATGATAAAGCTCATGACTAATGTTTTAAAGTGAAAAATGTTTTACTGTCTTTATTATTTATACACCGGTCGAAGGCAGATGTATTTTGGTAGTCTCTGTCCGTATGCCGGTAAACTTTTTGTTGTCGATTTCATAATGTCTGATCTGCTCAAGATATTTTAACAAAACTTCATACACATATGCATCATTACAGACAAAGCATCATGCACACTTTTCATCACCCCAGCTATAAGGTCGAGGTCACAAATTAAGGTTGTACAAGGTCTTTGCATGTCCAGGCCATTGCTATAAATTGCTGTATAACAGTTTGTCGACAGGCGTATAATGTGCTGTATACGGTGTGCTTGTTTTGTGTGTGTGTTACCAGGTGAGAGACGGTGCGATGTCTGACCTCCAAACTCAGTTAAGAGAAGTGCTCAGAGAGAACGAACTACTGCGCAGAGAAGTAAGAGTACTCAAACACACACCCCTGGTCTAAGAATAAATTAATACATTTTACAGTATGTGATATTTCATCATAATGTTTGTTTACTTAGTTGTTCCTCTGGGATTCTTTCTTTATTTTATTTTAAATTTAACCATCGCATGGGGAAAAAAAACAACCTAAAGGCAACCGTATGAATAAATCATGACTGCAGGCACGTTGTGGCTTCGCTGCAAATAAATAAGCACTTAGTAAAATAAAGTGACGGTGTTTGATGCTTTTTTAGCTGGAGGCCAAAGAGTCCAAGCTGAGCTCCTCCATGAACTCCATCAAGACGTTTTGGAGTCCAGAGCTGAAGAAGGAGAGAGCACTGAGGAAGGACGAAGGCACCAAGATAGCTGTGTGGAAGGAGCAGTACAAGGTGGTGCAGGAAGAAACGCAGGTAGGAACATGACCTCAGCAAATGGTTTTCAGTCCTCCGTCAAATACAGTCTGTCATCAATAGTCTTGTTTCTTTCAGTAACGTTCATTACACATATAAACACTAAAAGCTTTTGCCTCAGAAACAACCACCCAATATTCTGTCATAAACGGCACCTTTTCTCACAAATCAGCATCTCCCCAAATGGTGGTTCCACTTAAAGGAAAATTGTTTTAATTCTGTAAAGTAATACATAAAGTCATTTAGACATTGACCAGTATGTGTTTTTGATGGTATGATAAAATAATACAGTTTCAGGACATGAAAACATGTCAGTAGGCACACAAAACATTCATACTAGACAAGACATTAAAATAACAGTACAGAGATCATCATTAGCTATGATTACATGCGCAAAATTCTTTGATCGGATTGAAATGCACTCGGATAAAATAATCTGAATGTATCGTTTACATGGGCATAATCCGTTCACGACGAACGTTTACATGCAGTGGACTTTCATTCTGAATAGAAGTACTGAAATGCACAGAGTGGTAAACTCTCATTAAAAAAAACCCCCACAGAAGTTCTTCTTCTGTGATGAACGTAAACAAACCTGAGCGCCCAAAATGGACCCGCAACAGGTGTTAGTGACGGTGGAGACGTTACTGCACTCCCTGATTGAGCTACAGGTGATACAGATCATTTTGAGCTCTTTCAAAGTTTCTAGTAGAAATGTTGTGTCGCTCACTGACCACAGTTTTACTTCCCCGACATGCTAATATTATTAGCATCTAGCCAGGTGGAAATGCGTTACGTTGACAGGTCGCACATGCGCAGTCAGGTCAGTTTTCCACAATAGAAATAAAAGGATTAGATTAAGTGTTTACATGCGCACCGTTCGGATTATGAATCGGCGTAAACCACCCCTCTCATTCGGATTACAGATTCATTCAGCTCGAGCTGAATCAACTCAGAATAATCCGAATGGGGCGTTTACATGACGCAATTTTATTCAAAATGGCCGTTTAATCCGATTACTTGTGTCCATGAAAACATAGCTACTGTTCGTTGAGAAGCCTGATCGGTACAGGAATGAATGTTTATCAGTCTGTTCATCCTACATCTGGGCTGCAGATGCCTGTGTCCAGATGGAAGCAACCTGAACTCACCATGGAGTGGGTGATCAGGATCTGCCAGAATCAGCCTGGCCTTGTTCACTGACCTCGCCTTGTGTAGGTCAGTGAGGTTCTGTAGGGGTATGCCAGCAGTTTTACTACATTTATTGGTTTCATCACCATGGTGAACATTTAAACTGGTAATCGAAGCAGATGGCCGCTTGTCCTGAGCCTGGTTCTTTAGGAGGTTTCTTCCTGTTATGGAGTTTTTCCTTTCCACTGTTTCCTTTATGCTAGCTCAGGATGGGAGACCACGACGAAATGAAGACTCAACGCAATTTGCTAGCTTCCTTCCTTAGATAGATAACTTATGTGAATGTTCTGTTCGGTGTCCTGAGATAACTTCTGTTGTGACTTGGCACTATATAAATAAACTGAACTGAATTGAATTCATCGTCCCATGCCTTATGACCTTTTTAAAAACTTTGAGCACCTTATTCCAAACTTTTTACAGTAAAATTGAATCATCCTGGCATTCAGTTTTGTAATTTTTGTTGCTGTAGACCGTCAGCCCAGGAGCATTGTTTCAGCTGTAGCTTCCTGTTTGGCTTGGGTTAATTTTACCTTCACTGGAGCTCATCCAAGATTTTTTTTTTTCTTTTTAATGAAAGAAAATCACACCTCAAATGTGGCTTATTAAATTAAGACAAATCTCATTTAGGCATTCACTATTCCCCGAGGGCACGTTTTACCGTGAAGTAGTTCTACTCCGTTTTGTGTGTAAATGTGTCAGTAAATGCGTCACATGTGTAAATGCGCAGAGGAGGCGTGGTGCATCCTGATTTGGTCTCAGTGCTGAACGCCAGGACACACAGCTGAAGCGGGGACTCCCAGCTGTGTGTTGGTGCTGCAGCCATCTGGATGAGACGAAGACTCGGCTCGTCTGGCAGCGCGCTGAAATATTATACAACAGATGACATGCACGTGTAAACACATGTAGTCACTTGCACAGACGCTGTGTCTTATTTCTCATATTATGGTCAAACGTGCTTTTATTCCTCCTTTTTTCAGGGCAATTGCATTGTTATTTTTGTCTTTAACTTGTGGATTTATGTGTGGAAGTTTCCAAAGCACCAAAAGCCACTTTCAGCTAAATGTCAATATGGGAACAATTAAATTGGAGACAATTTTCTATTTATTTATTTATGGTGGAACATGTTCAGTGTGCCTTCAGATACTGTATGGCCTTTAAATCTGGGAGATTTATGTGGATTTGTTTGAAATTATGCTTTTAATGAGAATAATCAGAGGAACAGATCACAAATTAATGGATTAATTGAAAACATTTCTCGTCTTATCGCAACCAAAGACCCTCAGAGAGTTTCTCTGAAAACCTCTGGGTGTGTGTTGTATCTACATGTTTCAACATGTAGCCGTATCGTCTTATCTCTACTGCTAAAAATGTTGTTTAATCTCTTGCACCTCTTTCTTTGTTACTTTTTGTCTTTGTGATTAAATCTTTTTTTCTGTTTCCATCATCACCTGATAATTTGGTTCTTTCTGCTCCTCTCTCTCCCTGTCATCATCTTGGTATCAGAAATTAATTTACCCTCCAGGCATTTTGGGACATGAATCCAGACACGTGTATAAAAAAAATCTGGTTCACATCTCCATCCTCTTATTTCTCTTTTATGTGCGCTCCTTTCAGCGTTTCATAGTTTTGATGGTATTAGTCAATTAAAAAACAAGGTTATAGATTTTTCCCCCTCATGGTGCAGGCTGTGTGTAGTTTCTTTTTAGATGTGATGCCACCAGGTCTGAGGAACAGTAGTACATACAGTAGGGATAGTAGTACAAATGGTAGTAGTAAGTAGTAGTTTATTTTAATTTTATATATATGAAGGCATTATAAACCCTGCCCACACTCTTGCAATATTCTAAACAATGTTTCTAAAAGCTCTAAAAGGTCACAGAATGTCATGATCTCTGCCACGCCCACTTCTCCACTGCAATCACACTCATCACCTCCCAATCTCCCTCCTTAAATAAACAATTTAAATTTAAATACTGTAATATTTTAAACAAACAATCCATGCAGCATGGATTGTTTATTTCAAATGTTACAGTATTTAAATTTAAATTGTAGAGAAGAAAAGCGCTGCAGGACATCAAAGGGTACTTCTTGATTGATTACACCGTAACAACTGAACATAGAAATTCAAAATAATTTAAAATAGCTTTTAACACCTTTATATTTTGTGATTATGACGATTTTACGATGTGACGTACTTTGAATTTTAAGTTGGAAGACAAAAGTGGATCGGTGCAGCTGGATAGCAAAAGGTTAACCCTTCACGAAGCTGCTTCAGCACGAGCAGAAAAGTGGGCGTGGCAGAGAGCCGCAGGTGGCAGAGAGCGGAGATCATGACAGGCTGCAGGAGGGAGCTTCTCTCTGCACCTAATGATTTAGCAGGTGCTAAATAATTTAAAATGATTTATTTTAAATAAACAATCCATGGCTCATCCATCTATCAGCCAAATGTGTGTCATGTCCAATCTTATTTTGAAAAACCGTGAAAGCGCGAGTCCGCGATAGTTGAACCGAAGATTAGCGAGGGACTACTGTATTTCATATTTCACATCATGTTTAGGTGTCAATATTATGACCAGAAAGGTTGCAAACCTAAGAAAGAGTAAAATACTTTTAGAATAGAATAGAATAGAAACAGCCTTTATTGTCCCACGGATGGGAAATTCCAGTGTATCAGCAGCAACAGCAGCAACAGATAAAAAGATAAAAAGATTTCACACAAAAGTTCCTAATATGTTAATAAACAATACAATATATAAGAAATAAGATAAACAATATCAATAATAATGTTCAATATGTATTGGAACATCGAGAATGGCTGACTATTTACAGTACAGTATTACAGGCAGAGTGTGTGTTTTAGCAGAGGTCAGCATGTGTTTAATCCTTATTGAGTTTGTTGGGAACAGTGATGGTTGTAGAGTCTAACGGCTGCTGGGAGGAAGGACCTGCGGTAACGCTCCTTTGTGCATTTAGGATGCAGTAATCTGTCACTGAATGAGCTCTCCAGTTCAGCAACAGCTTCATGCATGGGGTGGGAGACGTTGTCCAGCAATGATGTTATTTTAGCTAGAGTCCTTCTGTCTCCCACCACCTGCACTGGGTCGAGGGGGCGTCCAAGCACAGAGCTGGCCTTCTTGATGAGCTTATCTAGCTTCTTCTTCTCAGCTGATGATAAGCTGCTGCTCCAACACACAACACCATAGAAGATGGCTGATGCCACTACAGAGTCAAAGAAGTCTTCAGGAGTACTCCCTTCACTCCAAAAGACCTCAGTCTCCTCAGCAGGTAGAGTCTGCTCTGACCCTTCCTGTAAAGTGCATCAGTGTTGTGAGACCAGTCCAGTTTATTGTTCAGGTGAACACCCAGGTACTTGTAAGAGTCCACAATCTCGATGTTCACACCCTGGATGTTCACCGGGGTCAGTGAGGTGGACCTGTGCCTGCGGAAATCCACCACCAGCTCCTTAGTTTTAGCAGCGTTGATCAGGAGGTGGTTCTGCTGGCACCAGTCCACAAAGTCTTGAGTCTGCTGTCTGTACTCTGAGTCGTCCTCACCTGTGATGAGGCAGACTATGGCAGAGTCATCAGAAAACTTTTGCAGATGGCAGTGTGGGGAGTCGATGGTGAAGTCTGCAGTGTAGAGGGTGAAGAGGAACGGTGCCAGCACAGTTCCCTATGGGACCCCCGTACTGCAGACCAGCATGTCAGAGACACAGCCCTGTGTCCTCACATACTGTGGGCGTCCAGTGAGGTAATCCAGTATCCACTGGGACATGTGGTGATCCACTCCTGATAACTCCAGCTTGTCCC